CCCAGACTGCGAGAGGGCACAGGCCGGGCTTGGGGACCCCCCCCCCAGTACACAAATTTTTGTGCACCGGGCCTCTAGTTAATTATAAAGACAAGACTGAGAAACAGCTAAAGAACCAAAGAGCAAACCACAAGGAATGTTAGATGTCAGTATTCTGTTAAAGATGATGTTCGGAGAGATGGGTAGTGATCTTCTGCTGCCAAGAAAAATACAAAATAAGAATTCCAGAGGAACCCACAAGCAGTTTCAGAGCAGTCCCTCTTATCAGAAAAGTTATTACTGGCATTGCAGAGGGAATTGTATTTTGGTGTCTTTGCCAAAAGACTTTTTCCCAGAACGAAGATGAATAACATTAACAGTGTTTAGTGAGTGCCTGCTCTGTGTGAGGATGAAGGTTTAAAATGCAGTGAGGTAAGGGCCATAACAACCATGCATGTGTAGCAAGTACCATAGAAGCACAGAGAAGAGAGGGAATTCTGGGGGAATGGAATATGTTTGGAGTCTGAAGGAAGAGCATATTTTCAGACGGAGGGAAAAGCATGAGCAAAAACAAGGAGTTATGACAACCTTTTTTTAGTGCCCAAGTGGTGTTTGCATAACCTTCTCTGCTCCTTGGCAACAGAAGGTGGTATGGTGACAGTTTTATTTATTGTAAAATAAAAAATGGGATTGGAAAGAAATGTCTGCATCATTCATTGACCATCAAAATGCCATAGTGCAGGGAGGGTAGCATCTCCCAGGTTCCTGTGTTCTAGGTCCTATAGGGCAGCTGTGGCCCATGAGTGACTACATTCATTTACATCTGTGTTTTTGTTTTTTCAGGCTTATTCTGTATATGATGAAGAGATTGGCTATTGCCAGGGCCAGTCATTTCTTGCTGCTGTTCTGCTTCTCCATGTGAGTAAATGCGTCTCTGTTATGACTTAGACATGGCCTACCTCAGGTTATACTGGCCTTAATCTTGAGCATGGTTTTACATTGGCTTTGGCCAGGCTCTAGGACAATGATGGCGAACCTGTGACACGCGTGTCAGAGGTGACACGCGAACTCCTTTTTTTGGTTGATTTTTCTTTGTTAAATGGCATTTAAATATATAAAATAAATATCAAAAATATAAGTCTTTGTTTTACTATGGTTGCAAATATCAAAAAATGTCTATATGTGACACGGCACCAGAGTTAAGTTAGGGTTTTTCAAAATGCTGACACGCCGAGCTCAAAAGGTTCGTCATCACTGCTCTAGGACATGAGTTTTAGCTCCTGTATCCGGAAAACTTTTTCTTAAGTTAATGTCATCGTGGAAGAGAAACATGTGAGAATGAGTGACAGTGTTGAAAACTGGTACAAGGGTAGATTTTCTTTTTCTTGCTGGGATGTTTGGATAGGCTTAATTCTTAGTTGGACCCTTGGGGACATTTTATCTTCTCTAAAGTAGCCACCTCATTATTATTTGTTTTGGGATTTATATATTGGGGTAGGAGGAAGGCGAAGGAGTTGGGTTTCTTTAGTGCCATTTTTTTTTCATCCAATTTACTGATATTTTTTTTTCAGATCCACAGCAAAATTGAAAAAATCTTAAGGTGAACACCCATATACTCTTCACCTAATTTACCAGTTAATATTTTTCCACACTGTTTTCTCTGTCTCTCCCTCTGCATTTTCTCTTTTCCTCTCTTACACACACACACACACACACACACACACACACAATTTAAAAAAAATTTTTTTAATTCAGTAGCAAACATCGACATATTTCATTTCTAAATACTTGAGCATGTATCTCCTAAGGACATGACCATAATATCACAGTCACATCCAAGAAATTTCACACTGATTCAGTATTGGCTTACACCTAATTCAAATTCAGTTTTCCCCAATTGTTTACACAGTAAAGTCCTTTATAGGTGGTTTTTTTCTAACCCAGATCAATGGATTGCATTTGATTGATTCCAGCATTGCATTGGGTTGTCACTTCTCTTTATTATCTTAATCTAAACTACCCTTTTGCCTTTTTTACGTATTTTGAAACATTTTAGCAAATTATCTTGTAAAAGATCACACACTCTTGATTTGTCTGATCATTTCCTAATGATTCAAGTTAGAATGTTTGGCAAAAAATACACAGGTGATGTTAACTGATGTTTTTGAGCACCTGTATGGTCTGTACTGTGCTAGAGATCAGGAGAGAATAATGTAGTCATGGTCTCAATCCTTGTGGATACACAGCTAGTGAAGCTGACCACCTGTAAGCAGAAAGTCACATAAGTATATTAATTTCAATGGTGCTGTGAAGACATAGTAAAAAAGTTTGATGCAAGATTGTAACAAGGGAGCCAGATTTAGATTCCAGGCTCCTCTGGGGAGGTAACCCTTAAGGTGAACCCTGAAAAATGAGAAGGGTTCTCATTTAACTTTTTTTAACATTCTTATGAAAATAATAAAAGTATTTTAAATAGCAAGAGAGTAGAGAATAGAACATTCCCAGAAAAGGAAATAATAGAATATATAGAAGCACTGAAATTGGGAAAACTTGGCATTTGGAAGGAACTGAAAAGACAGTAGGACTGGAGTGTCATGAGTGATGGGAAGAGGAGAGGGAACTGGAGGGACAACAAGACCTGCCTAGTAGGCCCCTGGAGGCCAGGCCAAGAAGGCTGGATTTGTTGCTCTAATCAAGGGGAAGCTGTGGAAGAGTTTTAAGTCCTTTTGTGTTGTAGTGCAAGTAAAATACAAGGTTGTAATACAAGTAAAACAAAAACCACTTTCTGTCTTGTTACTGAACCTAGCTTATTGGTATTGGTAGGCATGTAAAAATAGGATAAAGCTTTGACATTAATAAACAAGTCAAGTAAGTGTGTGTGTGTGTGTGAGTGAGTGATGTGATGATTTGATGTAAATGATGAAATACCCACACAATCAAGCTAATTAACACATCCATCAACAGGTAAAGTTTTAAAATTTTGTTTTGTTTTGTTGTTTTAGGCAAACTTTTTATCTCAAAGTCTCACAGACCTATGTGGTTTATCTTTGTTCTCAACTTCAGTCCAAGGACATTTATCCCCATACAAGTATCACAGCCCCTTTAAAATGGATTTCCTGATCAAATCCACAGTGTCTTCGATTGAATTCTCTGCTGCTTGCCATTGTGTTAGGTAAATGTCAGCCTGAGGGCAGATGTACTGCCTAACAGAGAGGCCACTCGGGGTCAGACCACATCTCCCTGAGTGTGGGGAAGAGTGAAGTTCCCATTCATGACAAAGACCTCAAAGGTCTGGTCCTTTGCTCCAAATCCTTAACTTTCCAATAATATGCTTCATTGTTCTCATTTATTACTTAGTCTGATTTTCTCTTTAGCTCTGCCTTATTCCAGTGATTTCTGTGCTCAGCCCACCTCCGTCATCTTGTTCCACAAAAGCCTGCCCACCTTCTTGACATTTGAAGGCTTGCTACAGTCACACTAAGCCTTAAATAACATTTCCAGTGCTTTCTTTTTTATTTTGAAAATGAGACATTTGCTATACTCTTGGGGAAATATTTTTCTGTAAAGCTGTGAAAGATGTAGGTATTATTATAAATAGGTAACATCTGTAAATAGACATAGGGTTTTTGTAGTACTTGAAGTATTACTGTGAGTGTTAAACTATAGTAGCTTAAGCATTACCACAAGCATTAGAACATGTAAGGTTTCTCTAGCCATCTTTTTAAATAACAGGAAGTAAAATATTTTTACTGTAACAAAATGGCGGCTAAGGAGGTAAAATGATTTATAAGATCTCATGATTTGGGAAAGATGAAACCTACACTTGTTATCCGCCTGTCCTGCCCTGTTCCAATCCTGTCCTCTCTACAGAGCCTCTCTGTCTCCCCAGGCAGACTCAGGCTTCCCTGTTCCTGTGTTCTCATCATCTTTCTGCCTAATTCGTATTACAGTGATTGTGTGTGGTTATATGGGAGGCTCCCCAGGGACAGGAACAGTGTCTGACATAGAGGAGGCACCATTAAGTATTTCTTGGTTGAGTCTTGGCTGGTGTGGCTCAGTTGGTTAGAGCGTCATCCTGAACACCAGAGGGTGGCAGGTTCCATCCCTGGTCAGGACACACCCAGGTTTCGGGCCCAATCCCTGGTCTGGACAGGTGTGGGAGGCAACCTATCCATGTTTCTTTCTCATAATGTTTCTTTTTCACATCAGTGTTTCTCTCTCAAATCAAATTTTAGAGATTTGATTTCTTGGTTGAGTGAATGAATGTTATGAAATACTGAGTTACTGCATATCAGTAAACTTCCTAGTATCCAGATAAGAGAGTAGAAGGATGAATTTAATATACTAAAACACTTCTGTATCTGTTTTGTGATTTTATTTTTGTTTTTTCTGCCATTCCCTGTCTGTTACAGATGCCTGAAGAACAGGCATTCAGTGTTCTGGTCAAGATCATGTTTGACTATGGTCTCAGGGAACTTTTCAAGCAGAATTTTGAAGATTTGCATTGCAAATTTTACCAGTTGGAGCGCCTCATGCAGGTAAAAAAAGAAACCAGCTTGCCTTTGCCAGTTAGAGCATGGTCTAGGGAGAAGTAGATTGATGAAATGGTGCCAAGGAGCAGTGGTGTTGCCTTAGCCATCCAGGGTGAAGGATAGGTGTTTTTGTTTGTTTTCATTTCTCACGATGTGATGATGATGCCAAGGTTAATAAGGCATGAACCTGTTGGGTGTAAGCTGGGTTTTCAATCTTGTAAAACACTCAGAATATCAGAAGACTTTGTCGGGGCCTCTAACACAGCACACTCAGTCAGGAAGTGTTCGCCAGGGCTCTGACGCTGACTGGTTAGAAATCCCATAACAAAAGTGAAACAAACTTTCCCAAACATTTCACAACTTGGAAAGAAAAACTGCCTTTCCACATATTTGTCACCATTTGGGGGGGGATTCCTCTTTAGAGCTAGTGTGTGGACTGGAAGAGGGAGCTGAGTGCCAGTTTAATGCCAGATGATAAGTGTTCTTCTGAGTCCTTGGAGGTTTTCAGAAAAACACAAGTATGTGACTTCTTTGGCCTATTCCTGTTAGATTTATGAGCCTCCTGAGTGGGAGCTGAATAGCTGCATATGTGCCTAAAACTAATTAGTTTTCTATTTCAGGAGTACATTCCCGACCTGTACAACCACTTCCTGGATATAAGCCTTGAAGCACACATGTACGCCTCCCAGTGGTTTCTCACACTTTTCACTGCCAAGTTCCCTCTCTACATGGTCTTCCATATCATTGACCTGCTGTTGTGTGAGGTACGTATCGGAGACCACAGCACTTTGGAGTGTTACAGTGTCCTTCCTGTGACAGCTGTCGAAACAGAACTTGTTCTGCTCAGTTGTTTTAGTTCAGTGCTGGGAAATCCAAGTCTCAGTGACTCTTCCTTGGGCCGAAGCTAATGGTCACATTTTGTTAAAAGGCACTCTCAGCTTAAAAAACAAACAAACCATATGTTAGACATTTGTATTAGTTAGTATTAGGTTTGGTTGATGTTTTGAAGAAATTCAAAACAGCAGCAATTAAATAAAATGGAGGTTTTTTTATGGCTGGTGAGAGTGCTAGTTATCAACTCTGCATTTTAAGCTCGGAGGATTAGAAGGGAACAGAGAGGGTACATGGCCTCTTTTTAAAAGAGACTTCCTGGAAGTACCACCTGCGTTTCCACTTACTCTTATTTGGTGACGGAAAATGCACTTAGGTACATGACCACTCCTCTCTGCAAGAGAGATTAGCTAAATATGGGGTGGGGTGGGGTTTTATTGCTAAAAGAAAGTAGATAATAAATAACAGTCTTTGCCACAGCATAGTTTTGGGTTTTGGGAGGTGTGTGTGTATTTAAGAAAAAAGTTACTAATTTCAAAAATATATGTTTATTATAGAAACTGTAGAAAATATAAGCAAAAAGATTTAAAGATACATCTAATCTCACTGTCCAGAGGGTAACTACTTTTAACATTTTGATACATATTCATTCTTTCAGCTTTTTTTGTGTTTATATATGTGCATATGTAATTTCTAGATGGAATAGTGTTTTTTCTATATGGAATATTATATAATAATGCATATTATGGGTCAGTATATATTTAAAAATATGATTATGCTATATATACTATTTGGTAACCTCTTTTTTCATTTCATGTACTTGAACATATCTCGATACACATCAATACCATCTTTCTTTTTATATAAGCTTACCATGTGCAAAACATATGAAAGTCCATTAAAGAATTTGTACCTTCTACCCAGCTTGAAACATTATGAGAAATAACATTACCAAATATACCATTACTCTTATTGCTGCCAAGTATCCCATTTGGGTATACCATATTTTGTGTAACCAATTCCTAATCTCAAACCTTTGAGTTGTCCAGTTTTTACTATTAAAAACAACCATTTGTTAAGTAGTTAGGAGCCCAGTGGCATGCTAAATAATTTAAATAAAATTTTCAAACTAATTAGCTCAGAAAACCCTTGGGAGAATATTAGTTATGGAAACTGAGGTCCAGAAACTTAAATAGTTTAATTTGATCAGCAGATGTTAGTGCCTCCCCTCATTTGTCCTTTGCCCCCATCCCCCGACTCCCAGCTAGTTAGATGAAGGAAGGCAGTTTGGAGGGAGCCCGGAGCAGGGTTGGTTCAGGACACCAACAGGCTTCAGAGTGATTGCTGTACCTCGAGTGGGGCCACACAAAATCAAGTTCTATGGGAATTAGTCCGGCTGGTGGTTGAGTGTTGACCTATGAACCAGGAGGTCACGGTTCAATTCCTAGTCAGAGCACATGCCCGGATTGAGGCAACCGATCAATGATTCTCTCTCATCATTGATGTTTCTCTCTCTCTCTCCCTCTCCCTTCCTCTCTGAAATAAAAAAAATATATATATATATGTTTTTAAAGTTCCACAGGAATTATTTTCTGATTATAATTTTTGTTGTTGTTAATCTTTCCCCGAGGATATTTTTCCATTGATTTTTAGAGAGAGTGGGAAGGAGGGGAAGAGAGAGAGAGAGAGAACATCATGTGAGAGACACATTGACTGGTTGCCTCTTGCACACTCTCCCACTGGGGCCAGGATCGAACCTGCAATCCAGGTATGTGCCCTTGACCAGGAATCAAACCCGTGACCCTTGGGTGTGTGGTCCAACATGCTTTATCCACTGAGCCACACTGGCCAGGGCCTGATCATAATTTTATGAGTCTGATGTTTTGGTTGGGAAGTATAGGAAAGTATTCTTGTTGAATGTGAGAATAGGGCTAGAAAAGCTCTTCTCTCACAAGAATGGGAGACTGGATCTACTTTACGTGGTGTTTCAGCAGTGGCTCTAGTTTTTATTTTCCAAGGTATTTTCAAGATAATTCCATTTCTTAATTAATGTTTTACAACTGCTCTAAAATTGTGGGGTATTCTGAAGACAAATGGCTTCATAGTCCAGATGTAAACACTAAAAATGTTCTTTTTGTGTTTTCTCTTTTAGGGAATCAGTGTTATTTTTAATGTTGCCCTTGGATTATTGAAGGTACACATTTATTCATAAGCTGAGTCATCTGTTGTTCTCGGTTCAGCACTTGCAGTAGCTTGGGTCTTAGTCTCGTTCTAACAGCCACTGTGCTCGGACGTTGTCCCTGGCAGTGGAGATGAGCACGTGGCTCTGATGGAGCGGAGACCTATCTTCTGGGGCTTAGAAAGCTGCTGGGATTATAAAATGCTTCTTGTGCAGCCTTAAAGCAAAGAACCTTTTCTCCACACAGTTCTCTCTCTTTTTCTAGACGTCGAAGGATGACTTGCTTTTGACAGACTTTGAAGGTGCCTTGAAGTTCTTCAGGGTCCAGCTTCCTAAGAGGTATCGCTCGGAAGAGAATGCAAAGAGGCTCATGGAATTGGCTTGCAACATGAAGGTAAAATAATTTTTGCATTAATTTAGATTTTTTTTTTTTGGTTCAGTTAATGTCTCACTATTGCTGATCAAACTAATAACATTTATAATACACTTAAATAATATTTTATTTTGTATTGTATATTTTTCCAAAAAAATTTTTCATACACTTTCTCTTTTTTGTTAATCCTCACCTGAGGATATTTTTCCATTGATTTTTAGGGAGAGTGGAAGAGAGAAGGAAAGACAGAGAGAAACATCGATGTGAGAGAAACACATCGATTGGTTGCCTCCTGCGAGTCCTGACCAGGGCCCGGGCCAGGGAGGAGCCTGCAACCAAGGTACGTGCCCTTGCCCAGAATCGAATCCGGGACCCTTTGGTCCACAGGCCGACGCTCTATCCACTGAGCCAAACTGGCTAGGGCACTTTCTCCTCATTTTGGATAATTCTTCCTTTATTTTACTTACATAATACAACATAGAGAAAATGTCTGGTTAACATAATTAAGAATAACAACGTTTCCCGCATCAAAAATAAAAATAAAATCACAAACAAAATCAAAATGCCAGGTGTGCACCATATATCAATTCATCAGTTGTAATGGAAATTTTTTGACACTTTGCATTTCCTTCCCAGTCTAGACTTAAAACGATTCTCCCATAAGATCTCAAATTAGATACTTCTGTTTTTCCCCAGCTTTATATGTAATGTTAGGTAAGTTTAAGGTGTAAGTGTGATGATCTGACACATGTATATATTTCCAAATGTTTACCACAGTAAGATTAGTGACCACCTTCTTCATCTCACAGAATTACTGTTTTTTTTTTGTTGTTGTTGTGATGATGAGAACATTAAAGTTCTGCTCATAGCAACTTTCAAGTATACAGTAGTCTTGTTAACTATAGCCATCATGCTCTTTCTTAGATTCCTGGAAAGTGTGTACCCTTTGACTGACATCTCTCCATTTTCCTCACCCCTCAGCCTTCCAAATATTTTCTTGTGTTATATCCTATGCATTAAATCTTACTGCTTCCCCCAGCCTTTGAACTCTAGGAAAGATATTATCATTCCCATTTTGAAGACAAGCCAAAGCAAAAAGAGCTTATAGCCCTCTGTAGTCCTATAGCTAGTTAGTGGCAGAACACAAGTTTTGTGATTTCTATTGTGCTGTCCTTTAACTTTCAGTATGTATTGTTGTGGTCAGAAATTCCCTAATAAGAAACTAATACATGAAGGAAACCCACTTTGTTTTTCACTTCCAATGGCATTTATGATTTGTACAAATTCGTAAGGTAAAAAACATAGGGTTATAAAACAATTTGGTTTTAAAGAAGATCAAGTAATTGAAGGACTTTAGTTTGGAATTTTCAGCTGGAGGCAAATGGGGGACAGAATAAATAGTTGTATTCATATTCTTTAAGGTGCATAAAAGTCTTGTTTATTTTATGTGACTCCAGAGAGTAGAACTGGAATTAGTGTGTCGGGCAGATGTGAGCAAGAAGCTTCCGTCTATGACGAGAGCACGGACTGGGCATCAGGGAGACCTGAATTCAGAGGTAGTCAGTTACTTAAGAGGCAGTCTCCTCATCTGTATGGTAATATTGGACTCTGGTTCTAGTTATATGTCAGACTGAGCTAACGCAGGCCAACCTTCCTTAGACACTTAGAGATGCTAAATAAAATAAGGCCCAAGAAATGTTTAAATACCTGAATGAACTTGAAAGAAAAAAGAGAAATGCCCAGGTACCTGAAGCAAAGTAGCTGGAAGCTAGTGTGTGTGAACTGATAAAGAGCATTCCGTGGAATGTGGAGGCATAGGTAGGTACTTCATGCTCACACAGACACACAATGTGACTGGCCTCCAGCAGGACCTTGGACTTGCTGCTGTGTTTTTGAAAGGGTGGGTACAAAACTATCTATTATCCCAAGAAAGAACAGAAATGGTAAGGTAAAATGAATGGGGTGTTTAAAAAGAAAAGGAAATAGAACTTCTAGAAATTAAGATAATCATTGAAGTTATTCAAATTAAAAGGTGACATACTTCACAAGTAATGGATAACATTTAATGATACTTTACCAGTGCCAAGTACTGAGGCTCAGTACTTTGTGTGTGAGGATTAACTACAGCCTATGGACAGTGCCTGTTTACCACAGTGCCTGGTAACTAGTGAGGGTTCAAGACATGGTGGCTGCTACTGTGGTTACTTCCTCTCTGGTTTTGAAGCAGATATGAAACACTTCTCAGGGACATTTTCATGGATGTTTGGTTTGTGCACAAAGCAGAGAACCAAGTGAGCTCTGAGGTTCTCTGAGTCTCTCTCCACCTCAGCCTGGGTCAGCACACAAGAGGATCTGCCTTTTTCTCAGTGTCCCATCTCAGGTCGTGGTACCCGGCTGGTTGCTCAGGCCACAAATCTCAGTATCATCCTGGACTCTCTGTCACACTTCCCATCTTCTTACTCCACATGCAAGCCCTACTATCAGAATGTATCCTAAATCTGGTCACTCCTTGCTCCCTAGATCACTACCACCCTAGTCTAACCTCCTCATCACTTCTCTCCTGGAATATTCTAAAAGACTGCTTGGTCTTCCTGTTTCCACACTGGTTTCTTCCCCGGCTTTTCTTGATCCATCTCTCTTGCTTACAACTAATGGCTTCTAAGAATAAAACTCGAGTTTTAGCCTTGGCCTGCAAGGCCTGGCACCATCTGACCTCTTGGTCATCTCTGATTTTATCTCCTACTTACTACTTTACCCCTTACTCTTTCCACTTCAGACACCTGGCCTCCTTGCTGTTCTTAAACAGGCCAACATGTTCACTCCTCAGCCTCTGCCTGTAATGTTCTCCTCATTGTCCGTCTAGCTTCACTGTTGCCTCCTTCAGTCTTGGGCTCAAATATCATGCCATCAGAGAGGCCCTCTCTAATTACAGTGTTTAAAGTAGCAGCTCCCCCAACCCTTATCTCCCGCTCCTATCTTATTTTCCGCTTATCACTGCTTCACATTATCTTGTTTATTTGGTTATTAATTCTCCCTCTACATTAGAATTAAGCCTATGACAGAGGGGACTTTATCTCTTGCTTCTGAATCCCCAGTGCAAGAACAGAATCTGCCATATAAATAGCGGTTGAATAAGTGAATAAATGAATATGCTGTTAAGTTTCTACCAAATGGTTTACAAACAAGGGTTCACATGGATTTGGGCAAGGCTTAAAAGTAGCTTCCAGCGAAGGTTTTACCTTTTGGGTTTTCATTAGCTTGAAACACTTTAATAATATATGGATCCTTTTTTCCATAGGCCAGATGGGAGGTGTCTAATGTCTTCTTTTTCTTGCCTCTGCTTTCAAGGAGTTAAGGCAGACAAGGCTGCACAGCACACACGTTTTGTGCTTAGATATGTAATTCCTTCTGGCCCTGGAGAACTCTGCTTGGCGGGGGTGCTCTTTGGATGATACCCCTACTTGCAACATGGTTTCAGGGTGAGAAAGATAGTAATTTTTTAAATTGATTCACAGCATGGAAAGCCTTACAGATTCACCAGGACATGAGCGAATGAGATTTTTCTGCTAAAGGTGGGATATGGTGTGCACAGTTTAGTTAGTAATGATTAGTTACGCTCTAGCAGCTATACTTGAATACCGGCAAATATTAATGGAGAGTTGAGCCAATTATCGGCAAAGAACCTTAGTCACAATATAATATGCCAGCTCAAAATAAGAAAATCCTTGGCAAGCCCTGCATGTGTTATGTGGGCTGCATGAGGTTGGGAGCACCTCAGTCAGCACAGTGTGTGTGTGATCGCCTGGGGGGGCAGAGTCCCTCTGGACATGGAGAAGGGGGCTCTGCTATGGAATGGTTTGGAATCTAGCTTTTTAACTTTTTGGTGTACAATTTAGAAATGAAACATTGACTCTGGCTCATTGAAATTCCATTCCATTATATTTTTATTTTTAAAAAATTGTGGCTTGGTTTTCAGAGTTGTGCTTCTTGATTGAGAATACTTTGCCACACATGCAGTCCAGGAAACAAAGATCTATTTTTTCTTATTGTCACTGTTGTAACATTTATAATGTTGTAATTTCTGGTATTTGTAGTTTTTGGAAGTATCTCATTTCTTCCATATGGTACCTTATGCGGTACATAGGGCAAATCAAGTGTGGAAACTGAGGCATACAGAAGTCAGGTAACTTACCCAAGTGGCACTGGCTGGGCACTGACAAGCCCTAGTGGAACTCAGGCCTTCAGACTTTACATTCGCAATGTGCTTTCCACTCCTTTGCAGAAATACAACAGAAGTTAACTTTATTGTGGCAATACCCCAAACAGCCACAAGATGGGGGTGTTGTTCAAAAAGGTCTGTATTCCTCCCTGTACCTGTGTGTGTGTCCCTTTGTGTCTGTCTTTTCTCTCTTTTCTACCCTTTTACTTCTCCCCTTCTCCTTAGTTTATTATGGGACTAACATATTTATTTTTTGAGGAATTTTTGATCTCCTTTTCTTCATCTGTAATTTAACAGCATGTATAAAAACTCATTTAGCGGTCCATTGATTTTCTCTTTTTTTATGGGTCAGTGCCCTGAAATAGAAAATTTTTTTCACTTCTGCTATGAGGTCTAAAAGGAATTTCATTTTTAACGATTGTTCTAGGAGTTAATGAATGGCCCTAGTAGCTCCATAACCTATTCATACTCATAACTGTACTATGCGTTATTTAGAGGGGGGTGGGACTACAATCACATTTAGATCTTTTAAATTTTTGATTTGAGAATTATGTTAAAGCAATGGTTTCTTTATGTCTTTACAGGTATTTTAGAGAATAAGTCAGATATATGAGGCTAGTTTAGAAGAAACAGGAAACAGCTGAAAGAGATGGCTCAGTTGGTTTCTTAGATCAAGCTTGAAGACTTGACCCTTTTGTTGTAGAATCCTCACTAAGGTGAAATGTAATTTCTGAACCATTGTTTCACTAGAATTTATAAAGTGATTGTGCTAGACTTCAAACTGCCTGTAAGAAAAGATATT